AAAAAATCTGAGTGTTTAATTTCATTTTTTTTTTTTTGAATTTTCTCTCAGGAAATCATGGTGGGTTCCATGTTCCAGGCTGAAATTCCAGCTGGCACCTGTAAATACAAAGAAAATGAAAAAGGTGAGAATTTATTAATTTCCTGCTCTTTGAGATTCGTGGATTTTAATTAAGAGAAATAAAATGATAATTAAAAGTATCTTTAATTAAATTCTTGCTGGTCCTGGGACTTTCAGCAGGGCTGGAGGAAAAGGGAAAAATAAATTAATTTTTGGATTTTTGGGTTGTGATTAATGACCCAAACAAACTGCAAAGTCTTCATTTAGAAATTACATTAATGGGAAATAAATCATGGAAAATTTTAATTTTTGGAATTGAATTCTCACTATAAAAGGGACAAAGTGGCACCAGCAGATGTGGTGACAGCAATACTTTATAATTAATTTATTGCAATTATTGTAATTATTTTAATTTATTGTACAGTGTAGGAGAATGATGAGCAGCAATACTTTATAATTAATTTATTGTAATTATTGTAATTATTGTAATTTATTGTACAGTGTAGGAGAATGATAAGCAGCAATACTTTATAATTAATTTATTGTAATTATTGTAATTATTTTAATTTATTGTACAGTGTAGGAGAATGATAAGCAGCAATACTTTATAATTAATTTATTGTAATTATTGTAATTATTTTAATTTATTGTACAGTGCATGAGAACGATGACCAGCAATACCTTTATCATTAATTTCCATTAATGAATTAATTATTTTAATTAGTGTATATGAACGAGGACCAGCCATACCTTTGTCATTAATTAATTTCCATGAATTAGTGTATGAGAACGAGGACTGGCCATACCTTTATCAATAATTAATTTCCATTAACGAATGAATGATTGTAATTAGTGTATGAGAACGAGGAGCAGCCATACCTCTGTCATTAATTAATTGTTGTAATTAGTGTATGAGAACGAGGAGCAGCCATACCTTTATCATTAATTTCCATTAATGAATTAATTATTGCAATCAGTGTACGAGGACGAGGACCAGCCATACCTTTATCAATAATTTATTGTCATTAATGAATGAATGATTGTAATTAGTGTATGAGAA